TTATTATTATTATTATTATTATTATTATTATTATTATTATTATTATTATTATTATTATTATTATTATTATTATTATTGTTAATTATTTTTTTTTTTATAAGTGACATTCTTTCCATTAATTCTCTAACCATATACAAAAAACTGTTTACAAGAAATCACTATACTTCTTGACTAATAAAGTCTTATTATTTTTCTTAAACCAACTTGAATAATACTTTAAAAGCCACTCACATTTCTTACCTATATTGTTTATATTCTTTTTTTAACAAAAACTGGACTTATGTAATTAAAAGTCTAGAAGGTACCTTTTTTACCAATGGCAAAAAAGTTCTAAAAAAAAAAAACTGATACTTTGCTATTTATCTGATATACAGAGAAATACTACTGAGTTGTCTTGTAGTAAAAAAGTTAATTTCCCACTTTTTTTTCCACTATATAACTCTAATAGTACTTTTTTTCAGTTTTTTTTAAGGAATTTTGTCTATTTCAGTTTGATCCTGAATTTTAAGTAGCACAAAGTTTCTCATAACTTGATTGATTCAATAGAATTATGATAGTAAAAGAATGTAAACAAACTTCTATTGGTTATCTATATGTTTGAATACATTTTTTTTAACTTCATAAAAACCTGAAGTTCATCATAAGTCATATATTTTTGATGTAGATAGATACAAAACATACTATTGATACATCTTTGAATATAAGAAAGAGTCCATTTAACCATGGTAAAAATTATAAAAGCTCAATTAACCTTTTGAAAATCAAAGCCACCTATTCCTGATTGTATGTTAGGTAGATTTCTACTCCTACTGCTCAAAAAAGTTCAACTGAAAAAAGTAAAAAATGACTAGAAGCACTTAATGGTAAAGTTAGTATACATAGTAAATCAAAAAGTTTTTATCCTATCTTCAAAAAACTCCAAGCTGGAAGACTGGAAGGTTAATACCATTACATCAATCAAAACTCGAGTCTGAAAATGTCAATAGTAACATGTGTGCTGACCGGAGATTCTTGTTGATCACTAACAAACATCAATGACCACCAGCTTGATACTCCAAGTGAATGAGCTAGTATTAAAATGAAATGGATCTACATCGTGCATTGCGTCTAAAAGACACGTAATATTTGAACTCCGCGTTTTCGTGATTTTGATTTTCTTTGGTAACAATTTCAGACGTACCAAGAACGATATGGAAAATATACTACATGATGGTTCCGAAACTCTACCTCTTGAGAGCTCATTGGCTTCAGAATTGTAAAATTAAAAGTGGAATTATTTTTTACGAAATTATATTCGTAACTGACTTGAAATTTTGTTGTTAGTCGCGCCGACCAACTGTTGTCGTCAGTTGATTCAGTTTCTTCGGATAATTTTTTGACGCTTCGCCGTGCTAATGTTTCTTACAACGACATGCCCGCATTTCGCGATAAGTTAACAATTAAGAAAAAGACATTTCGCCAACAATTCGCAAACCTATATTTCGTAAGATTAGTAGAAATGAGAAGCAATGTATTAACGGCTGCACAAAAAAAGTGGGAGCATACCCCGCGAGGAGGAACAGGTAAAGCATTTTTTCGGTCCAAGCTAATAAAATCTTATGTACTAAAATACGTAAACACGTTTATTGAAAATGAATTTCGTGAAGTGAAACATGTTAACAGAATTCTAGATGTAAAATCTGATGAGACTTGCTATATCATTGGGACTGTCTACATGGATATGCAATTTAAACCGAATATTCTTGACGACGTGACAAAAGAGGTAAGCCGAGTGATCAACGTGTTTAAAATACTTACACATTTTAACACGATCTTTATTTTGCAGCATTGGGTCATTGCTCCACCACCTCGTCCAAAATATTGCAGTACGGATGACAAGATCCTTCTGGAAGATGAATCCGGAAGGATTAAGTTAACGGGCGAAATACTGAGTCAAGAAATTATTGTCACAGGTCAAAGATCTCGGACTTTAAGATTTTACAATTTTTGGATTCAGAAAATGCAAAAACTGAGTTTTATTTTACAGGCTTGATAATGGCAGTTTTAGGAAAAGAAAATGCAGAAGGGGAATTTGAAGTGTATGATTTATGCTTTGCCGGAATCCCTTATCAACCTGGTCTAATTAAAGCACCTATAGGTATTGTTCACATAATTTTATTTCTATCCCTTTGTTTATAAGTAAAATTAACTTGTACAACTTCTAAAACTTCATAAAGACGATGACAAATACATTGCCCTAGTATGTGGATTAAATATTGGAGAAAGTAAATCGGCACTACAGTTACAGATGATGATAGAGTATCTCATGTGTGAAATTGGAAGTTCATCTGTAAGAAAATCAAAAAAAAATAATAATTTTTTTCAGTTTGAGTATATTATTTATATTTATATTCAATAATTTCAGGAGCAATATTTTTCTTCAAAAATAGCTCGATTAATAATTGCAGGTAATAGTTTACCCGAAGCTAAGTTAGTGGATGACGATAAAAAGCAGGTAAGAGGTTTTCGAATTGGTTAATTGATTAAGATTACCTGTATCATTAACTAATATTTGTCAATTGATAGAAAAAGTATGGATATGATGGATCGATATATAATGCCGAGTTATGTTCGGAATTAGATAGTATTCTTGACGAATTGTGTTCTACGGTTCCTGTTGATTTAATGCCAGGAAGCAATGATCCAACTAATCTATCTTTACCGCAACAACCTATAATATCCAACTTATTGCCCAAAGCTAATAAACACTCAAATTTCCGCCGTACAACAAATCCCTATTGGTGTGAATTGGACGGTGTTGTGTACGTTTATGATTCATATTTAAGATCCACTTGACTATTATGTGCGCTGAACTTCGGAACTTTCCACAAAATAGGCTTCTTGGTACATCTGGTCAAACAATCGATGATATATGCAAATATGTTGATAGTGATGATAGGCTTAAATTCGCAGAGCAAACATTACATTGGAGGCATCTCGCCCCTACGGCTCCAGATACTCTTTGTATGTTTATTGTTTCGTGATGAAATAATCTTTTTGATGAAGCTAATAACAATGATGCTTCGATAATAGGGTGTTATCCTTATCAAGACATAGATCCTTTTGTCATATCTCAAGCACCTCACATATATTTTATTTCGAATCAGGTTGAATTTGCCACTAGTATGGTTGAAGGTAATGTGTTTATATCAATTTTTTGAATTTATATTTAATAATAATCATTTATATTTAGCAGGGCCGAATCAGCAACATACGAGAATAATTCTAATACCCTCTTTTGCTGAAACCGGTATTGTTGTTTTAGTTAATCTAAAAAACTTAAAATGCCATTCCATATCCTTTTCTTCTTTCAGCTAATTTTTTGCGTATTCATTGGTTTTACACATAATGTAATATAAGTTGCGATAATACGCATAATTTTTCAGAAATTTTTCAACGTGTTATAAGTTTAAAGTTTTATTTATAATGGTTTGAACAGTTTATGTTGTTTAAATGTGATTCGTTAAGTTGATGATAAATAATTTGATATTACATTTAATATATTGATATAATACATTTAAGGTTTAATTTAAATTATAATTAAATTTATATTTTTTTAAAAAAATTATTCAAAAATTTTATAATAAAAATAAATAAATTAAAAAATATAATTGAAAATAATTGTAAATAAAACTTAATGTTTATTATTATTATTATTATTATTATTATTATTTTAAATTATAATTAATATTAGATATAAGCTTTTAATAAGACTTAATTTTAATAAATAATTAAATTCTCAAAAGATTTATATCAATTTTTTTTTTTTTTAAACCCACAGTCAGGCCAGTACTGTGTATTTATTAATCATTATGAAAACCAATTTAGATACACAGGGCAATTGCATCATGGCTAAACTAAAATCTTGTACTGACACACTCGTCAATAGCTTTCAATTCTCAAAAGAGCTTCAGCCTCTAAATGCAATCTTGGGGACAATATTTCGCTCCGAACTAAGTTTTGAATAAAGACTCTCCTAACTTACTCATCATTGCTAGCAAGTTGCCACTGCTTATTATCCTTCAAGAAACTGAATTTGAGAAATTACAAAAGGGAAAGGGAAAAAGAAAAAGAAAGTAAATATCTAAAAATGTACAATTGTGTTACATGAAAAAGAAAAAAAAAAAAATAAAAAATAAAATTGCTTCATGTTTTCCAAAGGACCTTGGCTAGAAACCTCTTCTCATTAGGAATAAACCCTTCTGGGATATCCTTCTTCTTCCTGACCATCTGAGGAACTTATCCATTCATACTTTTGATTATTTTCTTGTGACCGTCTGAGGTACTTATTGCCTATTCGGATCCAGTGTCTTGCTCAATGCTTCTTTTCTTTTAGTCTTGATTTTTTATCCACCTGCATAACACAAAATGGCTAATGGTGGATCTCAGGTTCTTATATGACTTTTCAGTCTTGTTGTATAATTCCCGATATCTTCCAACAGCTATACCTAGTTAAAGGAATTTTATTGGTGTATATCTTTCATTACCCAAAAAGCCAGATTCCCCAACAATCTTTTTGCCTTGTAATGGCAAGAGGGTCTGCAAAGTATGGGGATCTTCATCAATTATGATATCATTACACAATGTTTGGGAAAATGCATTCTCAATTCTAAAGAAGGGCAGTGTTTTACATTCCTCTGCTTTTTGGTCTTACAGCCTGACCGGGATAAGGAAATAACCTCTTTTACGTACTTTGTTTGACCGGGATAATAAGAAGTAAAAGACCTTAGCTTAAACAAATAATCACCTTTTCACCACCTAGGGAATTTAGTATCCATTCTAATGGCTTCATGATTTCTTTGCTTCAGTTACACTTCATTTGGAGAAGTGAAGAAGTCCGTATCAGTGGTCACTCTTTCTTTCACCAATAACGTCATCAGAATACGTGATGTAACCAGTAAGAGCTTGTTTACATTCTGCTATCAATGTGTTTCGTGTCGACCAATCACCTTTAACAAAAGCTATGTCGATCTTATATCACTCCAAAATTCAAGGTCAAGCTGGGATAGACAAAATTCCTCAAAAAACTTTAAAAAATGAGCAACTCTAAGAGAGTAGAAATAGTGGGAAGGAAATTTTTTGATTTAGGCTTTTGTTTGCCCATCCACCTATTGCAGAAAATCTCTAGTTACATTCTTACTTCAGGAGATAGGCTTTCAGTACTTCACTGTTGGTTTTTCTTTCTTTTAGAACTTTCTTGCCGTTGGTAAAAAAAGTGTTTCTTGACTTTTCTTGATTATCAGAAGTCAAGTTTTTGTTTGAAAAAAAGTATAAACAAGAAAGTGAAGTTAGGAAGGACTTTTGAAGATATCCTTCAAGTTGTTTTAGAGAAAGTAATAAGACTTTATTAGCAAAAAAGTATAAAATTTTTTATGAACCTCTTTTTTGTGTGTTGTTAAGGGATCAGCGGAAAGAGTTTTTCATATCTTAAAGATTTATATCAATTATTTTATATAAATTATATATTTATATATTAATAATAATTTATTCCATTTGTTTTAAATAGATTAATAATTAATTGTGACTAAATGAATCTAATTATAAATCAAGAGTTAATACATGATTATAAATAACTATTCTAGATTAATTAATATTGAACTTATACTATATATATTTTTATAGTTTATTAAATTAGTTTTATTTATATATATTCAATAAATAAAAATAAGTTTCTAGAAAATTATATTCATATTAAAATAAAAGATATAAATTTTATCTCTAAAAAAAGAATATAAATAATTTGCAAAATTTTATATATTAAATATTTTAACAATCTATTATTATTAATAAAAAATAAATACTTTTTGATATTTCTAAATATTATTTATTTAGATTTTAAAAGAATATATTATTTTCTTTATTATTATTTATAATATTGAATTAATTTCTATAAATATATTTTTATTTAAATAGAATATCAAATTAAAATATTATAAACTAAAATATAAAGATTTTGAAATTTATCAAAATAAAAATATTTATAAGATATTTATAATTAATTAAAACAAAAAACTTTTTTCAAATAATTTTTATAATAATACAATTATAAATTTTAATTATTGATTAATAAAAGTTTTTTTTATAAACTTAACTTAATTTAAAATAATTTTTTAAATCATTGAATATGACTTTTATAATTTATTCAATAAATTTAATTTGAAAATATTTTATTAACTTTGTATAATATTAAACTCAAAATATAATTAATAATTTGAAAATGCTATAATTATATTATAGATCTATAAATTTAAAATAAAATTTAATTATATTATAATTAAAATATTTAAAATATTGTATATTTTTTAATTTATCAATTTTTTATTTTAAAATAAAATTTTATAAATTTAATTTAGTTTTTTTTTTTTTTTTTTAAATCCTTTGTCAGGTTAATTATATGTGCTTTATTAAACAATTGTAAGCTGTACATATAGTATAAATCGCTAAAGCTAAAACTTTAACTAGCTCACTCGTCTCAGTAATTACTCTAAGTGCAACTTTGGGAGTGATTTTTCACTCCATTAAAAGTTCAGGTGAAGACCCTTCCAACTTTTAATATTATTGCCTATAGGTCACTACTGCAGATCACTCTTTGCAGTTCTGACAGAACTCAAAACCCAACCATTTTATTCTGAATTTAACTCCTTTTAATATTTAACTATTTTAATTTCTATAAATAAAAAAACTATATATATATATATATATATATTATAATTTTATTTGTTTCTTTAATTTTTTTAAATTTATTTTATAATGATATCATTAATATTGCTTATTATAAAAATCAAAATGGAATATAATAGCTCTTTAAATAATTTTAATAATATAAATAATAAAAATATTAATATAAATAATTATAAATACAATGATACTAGTAATGTTGTTGCAAATAATTTATCAAAAATATTATTAACTAGTAAAGCAATTTATAATAATAAAGTATGAAATTATTTCATAAAAAATACTAATTTTAATGAAAATAAAAAAGTTTTATAACTATTGTAGTATCAAATATACTTGTAATAGCAGTAGTACTTTAAATCTTTTTAAAAAAGCTATCTAATAAAAATAAATTTATAAATTGGTAGACTAAATTTTTTAATATCTCAAAAGATGATATAAATATATTTTTTAAACTTGAAGTATTATTAAATTTATTTTTTATATAATAGATACATAAATATAACAAGTTTACCTAAGTCACCCAATGAAAATATGACTTTACACCTGAAAGTCAGATAGCAACTGCTAAAATGGTCTTAGGAAACTATGGGTATTTTGATGAGAAAACATCGTTTATTAAAGGTCGGAAAGATATTGTCAAATAGGATTTCAAGATAATCAAGGATTTAGACCTCTGGCCATAAAATACTAATGATTTGCTAGAACACATGATATTTCAGATCACATGACCTGACCGCCAATCCCGAAGCTCCGAGGCAACGCGAGACCTGAATTACTAATAACATATAGACAAACACCAATAGATTCATAGTAATAATGGTGTTTGCCATTCAGGGGAAACAAGAGGTATCATA